TGGAAGAGGGAAGTTTCGTGGTTCATTTGGCACTGGTATTGCCTGAATCGGGGGTCGGAGCTGAGAGGAATCAGCTCAGAAAGTCGGCTCGTTCTCTCTCTGCCGAAACCCAGAAAAATCTGGGTTTATAAAATTTGAAGTTCGAGATATTTACGGTTATGCCACTGAACTTCTTTTGCTCGTAACTCCTTCGTTACAACTCTGTTTTGAGTCCACTACATGTCTACGGACTCGTTTTGTCGCGCTCTACGCAACAGTACAACTGGAATCCTCAAATTCCTTCCCGGTCAAAAAGTCAACTTTTAAACTAATAAAATATTCTAGGGGTATTTTAGTCTTTTTCTCAAATAAATTAATAATTAAATATTAATTTTGGGTTTGGGTTATTATATGATCGTTAGATTTTCAATGCCATATTCCATTGCATGCTCCAACTCTTAGGTTATTAGTTTGAGTTATCGACCTATGCCTTTAATATTATCAATCCAAATCATTAGGTACTATCCCTCTAGGTCTCTTTATCTGTTCAGTCTTATTAACTTTCAATTTTCTGTTTTGGTTTTTAAGGAAACCTTGGTTGGCTCACAGCTCATGATAAGGTTTTCATATTTAGAGAAATGGCAAGATGGCTTTGCAGGGAAAGAACAACTAGGCCCATAAAATAGGTCGAGTCGAGCTAGCCTGACCCTAAGGCCCAATTTCGTTCATGGAAAATGAGGCTTGGGAATGAGAATTCAATTACTTTCCCATGTTTGGTAAGTTCAGGCATGGGAAATGATTGTCTGGCACATGGGAAAGTAAGGGGGAAAGTGAAGCCCTCCTCTTAACTTGGGTTTTGTTTTTCCTCATCATGGGAAAGTTTGGGAAAATGATCCAACATTCAATGCACAATTTTCATGACTATTTTGTCCCTATGATACAATTTATAATTACAACGTATCATTAAATGCATTCTTTTTTTATTTGATTTAATATGGGCATAATTGGAAAATTATACAAATTTTGTTTTCCATTCCTACTCAAAACAAACATGGGAAAGGAAACAAAGTGAAATCTCCCAGTTACTTGCCCGACATTACCAAACGTGGAAAAGGAATCTTTCGTTCTCATTCCTTGGGAAATGACATAGGAAGTGATTTCCCCTCAAATCCATTCCGTGAACCAAACGGGCATAAGAGGTTTAGCCCATGTCCTACCCATTGACAGGCATTTTTGGCCCTAATGGTTGAATGAGTCGCGTCGGGCCAACCCTATCTTAAATAGGCTAAGCCCAGACTTACCCAAAGATAATAAAAAATTCAAGCTTATGGGCGGGTCAATGAGTTTGGCCTCTATGGCCCTATCAAATAGGCTGAATATAATTAATTAAATGTCATTATGCTTAATTAAATCCAATGATCATTAATACTAGTTTACTTTTATAAAGATAATTCACGTTAATAGTAAATGGGGTCATTATATTCTTTCGAATCTTCTAATTAAATACAACCCTAATTCATGTTAGTTTAATTTATAAAATATTATTTATTAACTTAAATATTAGGTCGTGCCGGGTCACTCATGGACTTAGAAATTGTGGTCTGAATGCTACCCTTTACACAACGAATCGGGCTAAACCTCCCATAGTACTGGCTTGAGCCAATTCATATCTAAAAAAATAGGGCTGAATTCGGACTAACCCATCGAGTTTGGGCCATTTATACAAGCCTAGTTACACATTGATAGCTATAAGAGCTACTCACAAATGTCACAGTTGGGAGGATTAAATTGTATATATATATTTAAAAAAATAAATAAAAAATAAAAAATTGATGCCTAACTTTGTAGAGGCAGGGAATATCCAAATGCATTTTCGGTCCAGAATAGTAGGGTCAACATGAACACAGCTTTATATAGCAGGGTAAGCGTGACTTGTAAAGTAAAACAGCATGAAGTGTTTATATATCTGCATAGGATGCGACCATTACCAAAAGTCGATTTATGGTCCCAACAACATCTAAGCACAGTTGAAATCATGAAGACGTGGATACAAATCTCTGTTCAAAAAAGCCTCGGATACAAATCTCTGTTCAAAAAAGCCTCTCCATCTGAATCTTTGTCCCTCCATTTTACTTCAAAAAGCATGCCATAAGCTTCATCGGCTGACTCATGAGCTGTCCATTTCGCAAGCAAAATGCAATCTTCAACTCCAACATTGCAGCATCCAACGCAGCACTCAGCTTTAAGCTTTTGAGAAAGCATTTGCATGCATTTCGCATATTAAAAGAAGTGTCCATAATTAACCAAGTAACAAATATATATTCTTTCACGCAAATTGAAACTTCCACATTGCTCATAAAACTCATGCTCGGAAAAAGTATTAAAAGACCAACAACAAGACGAAAGTTTTGCTTTGCCTTTTCAAATATTTATTCCCATCCAAAAATTAAAGCCGCTTCCTATAAAAGCCAATGCCATCTATTCTATTAAAGTGAAAGAACAAAAGTAGTGAAATGTGTTTCAAAATAAATCAAATTGCTACTTTTATTGGGCCCAAGCCTCAACTCAAATTCAAAGGTTTTTGAGTCAGCCCAAGAGTTGGTTTGGCCAAATCGCAAGGCTGAATAGATCAGCCCAATTTGGTTCATTTTACACCCTTATCTTGGTTATTTCTATTATGGAATATATAAATCGACAAGGAAAATATAGAGGTTAAAACCACTACCCTTTTGTGGGTAGTGGTTTTAACCTTTTTGTAGTAGTTGTAGTAAGCCCTTGTGGCTATTGTATTTGTATTGCTCTCATAGCGTAATTTATGAATGCAATTTTTCTTCCGTTAAAAAAAATTAAAAACACTTCGGTGTGATCCTTGAGCTGATTTTTTTTTTTTTTTTTGTTTTGTTTAATAAGAGTTTGATTGGGGCTGCTTGCAAGCAATTATCTTGGTTGGGCCACTGTCACCCCCTTAATTCTTTTACCAGAACAAACATACCCTATCAAAATTTTGGCCAGAGCCTATTTATCTTTTGTATTTTGTCAACCAAATTGTACCAATTAATTACGTCAACTGGCAATTTGTTCATGCTGGCTAAAATGCATGGGCCTCTTAAGCTCAATGAATTGGAGGACTTTGAATGGACAAAGAATAATGATCTACGGGTACCCATATCTCAGTTACACATAGCTAATCTTTCCGGACACCCATGCCTAATTTCTTCGACACCCAAAGTTTGTCTAAACTTATTATTGCTTGGGCCTATAGACAAGTCGGTGGACCGTTGCTCTGGGTTTCGTTTTTTCCAGTAATTGTTTAAAATTGGATTAGATTGGATTATACTAAACTGTATTAACTTCTTTTGTACAACCGCATTTGGGAGTACCCTAAGTTTTTGATCTTTGATATTTTGGAGTTTGGAGTGTTAAGCTTTTGGCATTTTGGATTGTATTTTGACGTTATGGAATTATTGATGTGAATTTTGACATTTTAGGATTTTTTTTTTTTCAGAACAAGCAAATTTTATTAATAAATGGGTAAATACAAGAGATGTACAAGAAGAACACACTCCAAATAGAGGTTCTTGCATACAATAAATCCAACAAGACATTGAGTAATAAATATTACAAATTCAATCCCAATTCACTCAGAGTTGACAGATAGATGATCAAGAAAACTGTTTACAGCATCAGTGCTACAGAGAGACCATAAGAACAATGGATTCTGCATGAACAGGAAATAGAAGCACCAAAAGTGAAAAAGTCTTACCGCTCAACATCCACTGGCAAAGAAGGCCACAACACCTTCAACATTCCACATGATCTCACAACACCCAATATGAAACCATCTAAATCTAGCAATTCTACCTCCTCAACATAAAGGATTTTAAAAGTCAGTTCAAAAAGACTGGGGACAAACAAAACCTAGCACAAAATTGGGGAGAAGCAAAACCCAGCGTAAAACTGGGGAGAAAAATCTCTCTACAACATGACGGGGGAGAAAGTCACCCGATTTATTAGCTGAATGGTTGGTTTTAAGGGAAAATACCTTGAACCAAAGGGGATTACAGAGAAAAGAGACCTAGAAGAAAGGAGAAGAAGGAAGAAGGGTCGGACAATTTAGGATTTGGGAGGTAAATTTTAACATCATGCAGTTTGCCAACAGTTGAATCCAATACTTTTGTTAACCAGAGTAGAAAGAGAGTATTTGTTAAGAGCCATTTTATCTCAAGCTTTTAGAGCCCTTGATGTAGAGATTTGACTTGGTAACAAGTGGCAAACTACCAACCAAAGAACAAACAAACACATGTGCCCCTATCCCCACCACAAAAGATGAGCTTCACCCCATGTTCAACTTAAACCTTCCTAATCCATTCTTCTCCTAAGTCCTACTTCATATTCCAACTTCTATACTTCCTTGCATCCAAATACTTTTGTAATGGCACTCACTTTTATTTCCTCACTATCCATTAAATCCTTAGCCACTTCTTCTCCAAATCCAAAGGCTCCCCCAATTCGTCTGCAATCCCTCTCCAACAAGCCCTTTTCACTGGTCTGCCAATTAGACCCTGAGAGACACCATTTTCATGGTAAGCATTTCTTTTCCTAACTAGCATATGTAAGCTACTGTTTGTGATGAACATCTAAGTTTCAAGCATACTAGCTTACTGGGTTTTCTCAAAAAGGTTAGATTGTTCCAGCAAGCAATGCAAGACAGTTAATGAAGATTCGAAGAAATGGAGAAGCATTGTTTCAGCAGCAATGGCAGCTGCAGTTATTAGCTTTAGCTCTGGCATGCCCGCCATTGCTGATCTCAATAAATTTGAAGCTGACACACCTGGTGAATTTGGGATTGGATCAGCTGCCCAATTTGGTTCTGCAGACCTCAGGTCCCATTTCTTTTTAGAAACTGTATGTTGCAAGCATTTTTGGGTTCTGAGTGTAAAGGTTGAATTCCCTTCCAATGTTGTTATGCAGGAAAGCTGTACATGTGAATGAAAATTTCAGGTAATTTTTCATCTCTGCGTCATGTTTAGCCATATGCCATAGCCCATAATTTGGACCAATTTTACAAAGAAAATAGATGAAAAGAAAGGTTGCTGATTTTGTTGTTGCTATCTGTAACATGGTGTTTTGTTTGATTGCAAGCTTGCTGCTTTATGGCAATTTTTTTCAGTTTGTGCAATCTTGTATTTAAAATCAATCTAAATGACTAATACAGAAGAGCCAATTTCACTTCTGCGGATATGAGGGAATCTGATTTCAGTGGTTCAACATTCAATGGTGCATACCTCGAGAAAGCAGTCGCATATAAGGCAAATTTTGCAGGTAAGATTGCTGTCGTTGAACGTCGTATCGTACACTTATAGAGAAACCGCAATATGCACAAGTGACATTGAGACTAGAAGTACAAATTGAAATAACTATAGCATTTTCATCATCCAGTAAATAATTCACATCAGAAAGACAGAAACCCCCACTTCATCATTATTTCCATTCCTGAGAGGTCATATCCATCCCGCCCTGCAAGTAAGAGTATTTCTTGTATGCCTTTGTCACACCGTTGCTTAACGCTCTATTGAAACCTGCACTTATTTGGCATTTCAAAAGTTCTTATATTGTTCAAAGATTTGCAACCCAGCTACTGCATCTTTTCTTATCATGATCCATGATCCAGGATCCAGGATTGGTATCTTTGCCAGGAATCTTATTGCATTGGTATCTTACAACTAAACCAATCTTCACAACTGTATCAGGTGTCAATTTTCATACACAAAATCTTTAATTTGTTAACATCTTCTGACATTTGACAGGTGCAGATTTGAGCGACACATTGATGGATCGTATGGTATTGCCTGAAAGCTCAGCACAAAATCCTTAACCATTTGAGTTCGGCATAGTTTTAGGCACAGTTTTGATATTAAACTTGAAATAGTTGAAAGACTACCTAGTTTTATTTCCATTGCTTAAGAATTATGATGATTACAGGTCCTTAATGATGCTAATCTAAAAGATGCCGTGCTTGTTAGATCAGTTCTCACCCGAAGCGATCTTGGGGGTGCCCTCATTGAAGGTGCTGACTTCAGTGACGCCGTCTTGGACCTCCCCCAGAAGCAGGTACTGACCTAGCCTTCTATATTTCTACAACTGTGTTGGAAATTTGTAACATTTTCTTCTTTAGCATGCATATTCCTACTAGTTCTTGGGTTTGTTCATATAGGCTCTTTGCAAGTATGCAAGTGGGACGAACCCAACCACAGGGGTGAGCACAAGAGCAAGCTTAGGTTGTGGGAACAGTCGACGAAACGCTTATGGCACTCCCTCATCCCCTCTGCTAAGTGCTCCGCCTCAGAGACTGCTTGATCGGGACGGATTCTGTGATCAAGGCACTGGTCTTTGTGATGTAAAATGATTCCAAGGCATGGTAATTAGTTTTACCAACATCATTGATCGCATACGATAAATGTGTGTAGATATGTACGAGGGATAAAAGAAAATGCAGAACCAAAACTACCTGTACATCCTTAAAGCCTTAACTATGATACACATCTGAAACAGAAGGAATCAGTTGTTGATTATGATCATATCTTGAGTAATGTATTGATGAGAAAAGTTTTCCAATGCTTCTGTTGTAATTGGAGTGTCATGATCAGTGCTACTTTCTATCTCATTTCCCATGACTCTGATTTCAAATTTCACTTGGAGCCGGTTTACAGTATGCAATAAGAGGAGGATTTGTACAAAGCAGAGTGAAAGAAATTAGAATTTTTGCAGTCATCTATTTCAAACCAAGACTAAAACGGGTACAGAAAATTGTTCAACTTCAATTTTTCTAGACTTTGCATCCTGTAATTTAACAATTAGGAAACAAAAACACAGGAAAAAAGAAGAAAGAAAACCTGGGTTCAGAGAAGCATCTGATGGAACTGCACGTTCTTAATTCCTTGCCAACCCTTGACAGTCCAATGCCGAAACAAAGTGCACTCTGTGTGTTTATTCGCTTGGTTTCCACTTGCTTGTGCATTCGACCACAACTACTATGAGTTAAATTCTCCTCTTTAATTAGAAAGTTTTGTTTTTCTTTGAGAATCAAATAGATATCAAATGCAATTCATATACCACAAAATAATGATATTAAAGTCATTTTAATTTGAGACACCGAGTTATTAATAATAGGCTCACAATTCTTAAAATATTTCTAGCTTTCCAAATTTTCCATATAATCAAAAGGGCAATGTGTACATCCAAAGATGAGAACAAAAGGAAATTAGCAAATAAACTGCTTTGACAATTCATAGCAATTGTTATGTTACATGATTACAACAAATCACTTTGACAAAACAGGAAACATAAAACAAATAGCTACTTCCTCTGTGCAGCAGGCAATATCCGTTCCGAAGGAAACCTGGAAACTCTTAGTATGACTTTGCAAAAATAGCTACTTCTTCTGCAGGGTTACCAGTCATCAAGCATGATTTAATCCCACGCGGCTGTTCAAAAGGAAAACACCTAATGGTTGCCCCCGTTTCTTCTTTTACTCTTAACTCCTCTTTGTCACTGTACCAATCATTGGAGCTCAATATCAGCATCAGAAGTGCAATTCATATTTATTGAATTAAAAAAGTCAAGATAAACATACCCAGCAGACCATGGACCTCTTGCCCATTTTCCCTGGGAGATTGCAACTTTGAGTTCATCATATGAGCTGACATCCACAATATTGCTGCCAAAAAACCTCTCTTCTTGTCAATTCCTCCATAATTTTCCAACAAAGTAAAAGGGAATAATAAATGTTAAGATGATTTGAGTACTACTACTATCAATTCAATTCTTTTTACTAGATGCCTTATAAAACTCTATCAAACAGAAAGCATCTTAAGACCGTAGAGTGATAAATGTTGGAGCAAGAAAGCACCTATCCCGAAATGATTTTGCTTTTTCCAGAAGTGACGACTGGATCTCATCCAACTTGTCCTTGATATAAGCCTCCAAAACCGAAGGCTCCATGGATATTCCAAAAACCTTCCCCTGCTTTCCAGGAACATCTCTTCTAGATACAACCACACTCTGGCTTGAAACATCACGAGGGCCAATTTCAATCCTTAAAGGGACTCCCTAAAAAATTAAGGCCTGTTATTGGGGTGATTGACAAGAAGAGAACATTTTCATGCAGCTACTGATATCTTAAAAGAAAATATATTGTAAACAGCTTCTTCTAAAAGATAGATCCCATACATTATTTGTGCCTGCATCAGAATCAGCACTCAAAAGAAACGATTAACTCACAGGAAGTATATGTTCACATGTGACCAATACCAGTCTAAGAATGAGGAAGGCTCATTTTATTCATAAAAGTATCAGGCGAACATCCCAGTCAACTCTCATGCAAGTCAAACAATGAGAATGAATGAGATGGCTAATAGATGTAAGTTGTTCAACTCGTGTCACAGAGAACTTCTAAATATATAAGTTGCTCTCAAGTCATACGAATGCTATGCCAAAAGTAACACGCCAAAGAGTACCAATTTCTGCTTTATCTTCAAGGATAAACACAAACCTTCATCTCCCAGAAATTGAATTTCCATCCTGGTGTTCTTTGATCAGAGTCATCAAGTTTAACTTTAATGCCTGCAGCATGCAGTGCTTCCTTTACAGATGATGCAGCATTAAGAACTACTGCTCTATCGTCATCCTTCTTCCAAATTGGTATGATCACCACCTAAAGCAACCAATGCAGTTTTTTATAAGAAAAAAAAAGGCATGCATGCATACACGCATGGACACATAAAACACACTAAACAAGCACACCAAAATGAACTTTAAGCATGACAAAGTATCCATTCTTATGAGAACAAAGAATGCTAATTTTGTAGAGTGGGAGAATATATTAATCCGACTACAATACACCAGAAGATCAAATGGATGCTTTCTGTTTCAAAAATTTCTTAACCAAACGGTGAACTATAACAATACAAAATTGACAAACACATCCAAACAATCTGGATACAGAATTTCTCTCAAACACAAGGGGCAATCTAACCATGGATTCGATGTCCATCGAAAGCAAGTCCTAAGCCGGCTTCCATGTTACTGTTCTATTAAGAAAAAACTAAAAGAACCCAATATGTGGAGTTATCAAAACAGAACAGAGTGCCTTTCACTGTGACATCATTAATTCCCCTTTATGCATCGGAATTTTCAATCAATGAGATACACCTTATAGATTTGTTACAAAATAACAAGCCAGAAAAAATCGACACAAATGCTTATCTTGAACATATTCTATAGTTAGATTACTCCACCATTGTCTTGCTCCTCTGCTTATGAAGTTGTTCACATCTATTGCATTTGCTGAACGTATTAAGGAATCAATCCCAATAAATTGCGACATTAACCAAACTCACAAACAAGTTTCCAGATACTCCTGTACTCAGAATATGCTAAGATACTGACATTGATGAATGACGGACTGTACTTCCCAAAAAGTCTGTTTTGAAGACAGTCTTACTGCAGCTTTTGATTTACATACATATAAGCAAATCACCACAACTCTAGAAGTACACATTAGCAACATAAAATGCAAAAAGTTCTCCAACTTTAGCTTACCTGTATCGGTGCAATCTTTGGGGGAAGCATTAAACCTGTATCATCTCCATGGGTCATGATAATACCACCAACGAAACGGGTACTGACAGCCCACGAAGTCTGCCATACATGTTGCCTTAGTCCACTTTCATCAGTAAACTGTGCAAGCACAAATTTTGGTCAAATGGATCATATACAATTAAAGCATACATGAATAATGATTAGTCAATTACAGGAAACAATGATATAAATTGAAGACTCTAGAAGGAGGATTAAAGATCCTATTCCCTTAAATAGAATACTACAAATGAGGCTTCAATTTCTTGAAGCATCAGGAATAAAACTGCAAGGACAGCACTATCATAGAAGAATACCTGTGTTCCAAAGGCACGAGAAAAATTCTGCCCAAGATTGTGGCTGGTTCCAGCCTGTAATGCCTTCCGATCACCCATCATAGCTTCTATGGTATAGGTCTTCACAGCACCAGCAAATGTTTCCACTTTTGACTTTCGACCTGCAATAACAGGCATTGCAGTTTGCTCATAAGCAAATTTTGTATACACGTCAATCATCTGTATAGCCTGCAAATCAGCAGCAGTAATGCATTAACCAAATGGTACTCATTTTGCTACTGTTTAAGGGCAATCATTATGTCAGATGCAAACCTCTTTCTCTGCCTCCTCTGGAGTGGCATGAGCAGTATGGCCCTCCTGCCAGAGAAATTCAAGAGTCCTCACAAAAGGTTTCGTCCGCATCTCCCATCTTGTGACATTCGCCCACTGAATTAAATTAGCCACGACAAAATACCAAAATTTAACCCAAAATTCCTCTAATGAAAGTTGAAGCACGCTGCAAATGATGTAAGAAAGCATAATACCTGATTAACCATAAGGGGAAGATCACGGTAACTATGAATCCACTGAGTGAACATGTGATTTACTATGGTTTCACTTGTGGGTCGAACCTGCACACCTTCGATCATAATTATTCAGTAACTTCAATAGTTTGAACACAATAGTTCAGCTTATACAATCAAATACAAAATATGAAAAGAGTTAGCGATAGAGGACGACATACCACAAGTTTCTCTTCAAGCTCCTTCCCTCCTCCTATTGTCACAACTGCTAATTCAGGACTAAATCCTTCAACATGACTAGCTTCTTTCTCTATAAATGAGTAGGGTATAAACTGCAGCATTCCACATAATCAAACAACACAGAGTTATCACTTGTAAGAATATATTAAAATTTGGAATAACACAAAACCAAAAAATAAAAAAGCTTTGTAATTTAATAATACCTGTGGGAAATACATGTTACTGTGACCGGTCTCCTTGAATTTCACATTCAGATAATCCTACAAAATAAATAACAATTTTTTATAAGCCCCTAAATTTAATTTTAAATTAAGGCAACAAATACAATCCAATGCAAGTAGTAGAGCTAGAATTACTTGAATGGCTTCCCAAATGGCGTAACCGTAGGGACGAATGACCATGGTGCCGCGAACCGGACCGTAATCAGCGAGCTCAGCTTGCTCAATGACATCGAGGTACCAAGCATTGAAGTCCTTCGACCGAGGAGTAACGGCTTGGTCCTGGACTCGGTTGCTTTTCTGAGTGTCGACTCGGTCATCGGTCTCGGATACCGTGGTCTGAGCCGAGAAGGAGGCCGCGAATACTGGAGTACGGAGGATGTGGTGGTGGTGGCGGCGGAGAACAGCCGGAGAACGGCGGGAGACGGAGGGCAAGAAGAGCGAGCTCAGAGAAGGTAATCTCAGTGACACGACCATTTTTGGGGGGCTCAGGGACTTGGGAGAGAAGGGAGAGAGATGAGGTTTATGATGCGGGTGTTACGCGGTGAGGCTACATTGGCTGTAATGGTGTTTCAAGTTTCTGATCCGTTGATCTGATATCTCACGGTCTCTGATTGGTCAGTAGATCACCGATCGATTTTAGAGTTTGGTCAATCTTTCAGTATGGGTTGGGTTCTATTTGGGCTTGGCCCGTCAGGGATTTAGAATTTTCAAGTCTTTTGGCTAGCCCAATTACTGATGGAGGCTAGGATAATTAGTTAGGATAAGAACAAATTGATGGTCATTTCCCTCTAATGTAATTTTTTGGGTAAGTGATAGTCTAAACTA